GTGCCATGGAACCAGCCCCAACTTGCTCGTGTTCTGACCTCTGGAACTTGAGATTGAAAGGGCGAGCCTTCCAAAAGTGAGATGACAAGGCTCTTGCTTCTCTGATGAACAGCATTCTTTCCTCGATGTCTACTAGTGATTATGCAAATTATACATTTAAAGGTAATTAATCCTTAACTCCTGGAACCTGACCCAGCCTGGATCCATCCATAAACACATTATGTAGTTAAGAGGCATTTAAATAGAGACAACTGCGTCCTTGCTTTTACTAAAAAGTGTTGCTTTTTATAGAAAATTAGGTATAGGCTATGTTATAATAAAGTGGAATTAAACATTTTCAAAAATGTTTTCCTTTGGACTCCTGTAATTTTCCCCTGTTCTTTCTAAATACAAGTCCATTAACTTTCTCCTCCTAAAATGCTACGTATGGGCAGGGCTGTCTCTAATACTCGAGCAGCCCAGGGTGAGAGAAGACCCCTGGCCTGAGATGCCCCCTCTCAGCCCTGACTCCAGCGTTACCCAGCTGGAAATCCCAGCTCACGCCTTCAGATTCTTTTTGCACAGCTGCCCTTTGGCCTTCTCTTGGCCCCAGGGGTAAATCCACCCATGACATGACTGGCCCCCAGGAGAACAGATGGGAAAAAGGCCTGCGCAGACTTAGGCAGTTGAGTCGGGAATTCCAGGGTCCCCACATTTTGGTTTCACCAGGAACCCTGAGCAAGAGTGGGGGGTGTGTGGGCTTTGGGTGAGCACATCCCTTTGGAAGCCCCAAATCCCGGTCTTTTGGGTAGGAGCACAACCAGGGAGGACCGTAACACGGCCTGGACAGCACAGGGTTCAAGATAGGAACGCAGGCTGCCCTATTCTAAGAGCGGTGCTGTATACTAGTATATATACAGTATCTCTACACAATATATATAACACATTTTACAGAGTGAATACATGTCCCGCCAAACCACTGTCACAGGTTTCAAGGTTCTGGACGGCAAGAACTAGATAGAGAACATTTTGTTTGTCCAGCACCTAGTTTATGTAGGCAGAGATGCCGCTTGAGGTTATGGTACAAGTACTAGTATGCCAACTGCTTGCTGAAATCTTCAAAGGGGACCAGGGAATATTTATTTGGAAGTCATTGTATGAGCAAAGGTTGTGTGATGCTGTCAAAAAGCACAGAGGTAAAAAACAAATCTCACCACCAAAGATTCAGACAGAAGTTTGGCGGTTCCTAAATCACTCTCTTGCATATGTCCTGGGCTCTCCCTCCTGAGAGCCCCGCTCACCTGCACCTGGTAACACTCAGTACTTCCTGTCCCCGAAGCCTTCCGCCAGCGCTCAGGCCAAGTTCATGTCCCCAAGGCTCCCACAGCTCCACCCACAGCCTGACCACCTGCGACTGCTTCTTGGGCGTCAGCCTCCCCACTGAGAGGGTGCGCCCTGAGGTCTGGCACTGTGTCTATCAACCACAGCCTTCCCACGGCTCATCCCAGGACTTGGCACAGGCCGGATCCCCACCACAGGCCTCTTGCCTGCTCACCAGCAGCAATAAGGATTCCAAGCCATTGCAGTTTGGAGTTGCTGCTCTTCACTACCAGGGATTCTAAATACTTCCAGGTTCAAGCAAAATACCACTTTAACTCCTGGAAGAGAGAGATGAAAATAAATCAAACACCTGACTGTGTAGCGTTACAGACGTGGAGGCCATTGGGGGCACATGTGAATATCATATGCATGTACTCTGAGGTGTTTAAATGTCATTCATTTGTAAAGGTGACCTCAGGTTCTATGCCCGTAGAAGGGAAGCGTTTGTTCAAAAGACAGCAGTCACACTTTTTCAGAAAAACTTCATATGCACACACACGTTATCATTTTACCTATAGATCTCAAAATCTTACTCTTACTGAAATTGGGTTGAGGGTGCTAGGAACACCTACCAGAAACTGTCTGTACTTATTGGAAAGGCGGCACACTGTATCTATGCAGCAGATGGATTACTTCAAGGAAATGGAATGTTATGGAAAAGTAATTGTCTTGACATGAATCTGTAGGTCATTTCTACCTGCAACCGAGGACTGCCGGTAGAATATTAGCAAAGACAGCCACAACATTAAAAGATACTCAATGTCTGCAGGAGTCTGATACTTCTTAAATCTTACGTAGAAGCATCTAGAAAGGAAAGACACCCCCAGGGGGTGAGTGAAGATGGCCCCCAGAGGGAACGCTGCCTGCTGCCCTCACTCTCTCCGCAAGTTTTCTGTGAAGAGTCAGGAGAAGTGGCTTATGCAAAGGGTAGGGTCTCATTTCTGCTTCTCCCTCTTCCACGTTACACCTCTTCAGCGTCCAACCTCTTTCCTGCTCAAAGCAGATGCTGCCACAGTTCCATCCCAGGAAGTTCCCAGGATTCACTTTGAAAGCCAGCAGCTTCTTTGTATCTTTCCTCTGAAACACTGGGGTAACCTCTGTTGTGAGCAAGAAGGTCCTCCCACCAGCTTCCGAGGCCCAGGTCAGGACAGCTTGGGTCACACTGTGTGAGCTTGGGTCTCACCCTCTGCGGCAGCCATCCTGTTAATAAAAGCCTATGCGGCTATGATGCCCTCAGGCCTTAAGGAGCAGCTCACCAGGAGCGAACACCAGCGGGGGTGCATGGGTGGGCAGAGCTTGACTCTGCATGTGGGGTGTGGAGGCGATCCTGCTGCTCCAGCCTAGCTCTTTGGGGCAATCCATCCAGGAGCCCGGATGTTTGGGTGGGGCCTATGTCTTTGGGGCCATCAATGGTAGAGCTCCCACACTGTGAGAGGGCACAGGCCAGGCTGGGCGGATGTGTGGACGGGGCCTATGTCTTTGGGGCCATCAATGGTAGGACTCCCACACTGTGAAAGGGCACAGGCCAGGCTGGGGGACCCCCCCCTCCAGTGCACGAATTTCATGCACCAGGCCTTCATAAGAGGATGGGAGTCAAAAACTACATGGGTTTCAGAAGATTCTCACAATGAGAACTGAAAAACCAAACTACCTGGGGAACTTCATCTTTCATCTTTTTTAAAAAATATATTTTATTGATTTTTTACAGAGAGGAAGGGAGATGGATAGACAGTTAGAAACATCAATAAGAGAGAAACATCAATTAGCCGCTTCCTGCACACCTCCTACTAGGGATGTGCCCGCAACCAAGGTACATGCCCTTGACCGGTATCGAACCTGGGACCTTTCAGTCTGCAGACTGACGCTCTATCCACTGAGCCAAGCCAGTCAGGGCCATCTTTCATCTTAATGACAGATACTTGGTCCTCCAAGTTCATCCTCCAGCTGAACTCAAAGCAAATCCCAAGCAAACTCAGTGTGCTCCTTCGCTGTGCCCTGAAGGGGCATTTCACTGCCTACCTTCAGTTCTGCAACACCCAGCACCCTGGAGCCCAGGTCCCTGACCACGCTGCCAGTGATCTATGTCATCTTTGCTTAAATTCTGAACTTGTCGCTATCACTTACCTATGAATTGGTAAATGAGGCAATTAATAATTGTCAGACACTGGGATTATTAAAACTTATCTGCATCCCAGCAGCTTTCTCATAGATTGCTTTGTATTATCATCGAGTCTTTCCATGCCTTGCCCTTCCCACTAGATTGTCAGCCTCTTGAGGTGGGGGAGATCTGTCTCTTCCTTTAATTGTCCAGAGTATGTCCTTAAAATCACATTCTCTGAACACTTTGGGGTGGAGGGGAGGCGGGGCCTTTATTTTTAGCCGGATAATTTGCATGAACAAACAGTAATTAACAGCTCTTCCTTGCCCATTCTCATTCTCAGCAGGGGCTGCCTCAGAGGAGACTTTGATAAACGCTCCCTTCTCTACTGATAATAAATGATGAGGCTTCCCCAACTAAGCCAGGCCTGAGAGCTAGGACGTGATCACTGCAAGCCCAGGCATCAGCAGAGGGGGCACCCCCAAGGTAGCTGCTAGTTAGTTACCCAAGGGCCTGGGGAGGTATAAATATGGTTATTCGTGCCTGGGAAGGTTATTATAGTAGTATATATGCACACGTGCAAAGCCTCCCCTAGGGAGGGAACTTAATGGGACTAAATCGCCAAAATCTGACAGAGACCCTTTCATGGTGGTAGAACCAGCTCTGAGCTGTCTCCTTGCTCTTCCCCACAGCAGGACCTTTAGTTCAGATCCCTAAAGGGGGCGGTGCCTCTCCCCCGCTTCCAGGAGCGCGATGCCCCAAACCCAAACACGCTGCAGGTCAGAGTGGGTGCACCTAGCCTCTTCTGACAGTGGCCTGCCAACAGCTCTTTGCAGACAACCTCCTGCTCCCCAAAACTCCTGCAGAATGCTGGCGGGCTGCCTGCCGCAGGGCGACACCTGGAAGAGCAAGTGATTTAAAAACAAGTAAAACAAGCCACGCTCCCACTGCTCAGAAGCGACTGGTGTCCTCGTCTAAAATAAAAAGGTCTCTGTCTGCAAATCCCGTTTGCTCGACCGGTAATCCACCCCCCGCCCCCAGCCCGGCGTGTCCGCCCGGTACAGCTGTTTTTAATCCCTACTTTTCTCACTTGGCGTCCCGGGCTCGGGCTGACCAGACGCGGAGCCACTGAGCGTCTCCCCCTCCCCCTGCCAGGGTCTGTCCTTCCTCCGCCGTCTCCTCTTTCCCCGCCTGCATCCCCGGGGGCAGAGTGTGGGAAGAACGAATTTCCGCCCGGTTTGTTCGCCACTCGCCGACTTGGGTCCCTTCCGGACGCAGCCTGCGCACCCCGGCTCCTCCCCCGGCTGTTCCACGGAGGCCGCGCTCCCGGTCCGGGACCCAGAGAGAGGAGGCGCGGGCTGCGG